CCCACAGGGACAGTGCTAATACCACCAATTTTGTGGACATTCTGGAGGGGCAGCCACAAAGGCTTGTCAGTGGGGTGAGTGGGTGGGAGGATGCAATCCAAAGCTTCAAGCAGTGTGGTTGCACTGGCATTGCCATCCTTATGAGTGACCTTCCATCCTCTGAACAAAGGCATAGTAGCATTTGGCTCCAGCATGTTGTCCCCATTTCAACAAGAAATTGGCACAAGAGCTATGGTGTCAGGGTTGTAGCCAATTTTCTTAATGTAAGTGCTGACTTCCTTAACAATTTCCTCGTATCTCTTCTGGCTGTAGGGTGGCTCCATGGAATCCATTTTGTTAACTCCAACAATTAGTTGTTTCACACCCAATGTGTAAGCCAGAAGGGCATGCTCACAGGTCTGTCTGTTCATGGAGATACCAGCTTCGAATTCACCAAGACCAGCACCAACAATCAGGAAAGCACAGTCAGTCTGAGATGTGCCTGTAATCATGTTTTTGATGAAGTCTCTGTGACCAGGGGCATCAGTGATGGTCACATAATACCTGCTGGTCTCAAATTTCCAGAGAGATATCAATGGTGATACCAGGCTCATGTTTGGCTTTCAGCTTGTCCAACACATGTTCTTAATTGACATAATATACATTAATTTTATATACCATATTTAAAAATTGTTTGCAGTATAGTATGTGTATATACAAAACCTTAAAGGTGTTAATAAACTGTAATTTTTGGTCTGGTCTTTAGTAAATTATGTACTTTGTCCCCACTGATGATTAACATTGGTTTCCAAGAATGGGGGATTCTTATTTGCATGATGTACCTTTTTGGCAAAACTATGCTTACTTTACAAATATATTGGGGCTGGCGAGATGGCTCAGTGGTCTAAAGCACCTACTTGGAACAAGCTTGGCAAAGCACAGGGACCGCGGTTCAATCCCCCAGCACCACATGCCAGCCAGCCGCGCCCCCTGGTGGGCTGAGCTGGCCACACACACACACACAATAAATAAATAAACTTTAAAAAAAAAAAACAAATATATTGGCTTCCTTTAATTAGCCTGGTCACTGTTTCTTAGTACAACTTTACTGTAGAGATTGGATTTGTTTTGTTCTTTTTAGTTTATTTTATGTCTGTAACATTTGCAAGTATTGCATGTCAAAGTTCTAATATCTAAGGGTGCTGATTACAAAGTACACAAAATTAGACTTGAAAATGGACTCTAGGGGCCCGGTAGATGGCTCAGTAGAATAAGCACCTCCCTGGCAAGTGCAAGGGCCAGAGTTCAATCCTCGGTTCTGAAAAAAAAGAAAGAAAGAAAATAGACTCTAGATAAATTCAGTCTAAGAGCCTCTCTTTCCAAATGTTTGGGGGCCTGCCCCTTAGCTCAGTTCTTTAAGTAGCTGCTTCAACAAAGCAGTCAGGCTCAGGTTGCTGTGGTTCGATTCCCACCACTCAAGCCAGCCAAACTTGCCCTGAAGGCATTCAGAGCAAAAAAAAAAAAAACCCTCCAAATGTTTGTTATTGGTCATATTTAGCAAGAAGTGCTTTTATGACACTGACTTCAACCATCTGTCACAGCTCTTCCAATGTGGGTTGTGTTCTCACTGACCATCACAAAGAAAAACTACCTTACCACCAAGAGACAAAGCTTCAGATGGTTAATTGGCAATACCTTTAGAAACAAATGCATTTGGAGGGAAGAGAGAAATGCTGCAAGCATCAAAGTGTCACCTGTATGCAACCCTACCAAAATAAGAGCTGCAGAAGTTCTGAAGAATGTTTTTAAGCATGATTATTTTAGAGCAAAGGCCCTTCTAGCTCGTGTAATGGTTAGCTATCTCCTGAGCATGGCCTTCTTTTGCATTTGGCTTCACAATTTTAGTGATACTTTTTCAGGCTGAAGCATCTAGATTCCCTTATGTTCCAGCTACTTTTAATGAAATCAGCACACTAATCCAACATTACAGCCAACCAGATGATATGGGACCTCAAGGCCCTCAAGACTGATGGCTCAAGAGGTGCTATAAAATGGAACTTTAAAAGTTAGATTTTTTTTCCCTTTAGAGACCAGTGGATTCTTGAGGCTTAGAGTATAAATAGTTTGCCCAACTCATCTCAGTACAGATGAATGGACAGGTTCTGACAACAGTAAGACTTGAGCCCATTTTCTTGCCACAATAAATGGAATTTTATCACTCAGTGCTCATTAGAGAAACATTTAAAATACAATATATAAATATATAAGTATTTACAAGGCAGACTTACAATGGCCACCTGCACAGACAGGTGAGGAAGAGTGTAAACAGGCTGTCTGTGCAGTGAAGATCTAAAGGATCGAGTCAAAGGTCAAAGACCTGGAGCTCAATGTAGTATTCCATGCAAGTCTGTGTCAGGAGGCCAAGGGGTCTGTACTGGAAGGCAGAAGACTCTGCACTACAAACCGGGAGATGTCATCCACATTGAAAATGAACACTGGAGCTCCTCCAAAGAAACAGAAATGAAACTTCTTTCTCTGTAATGCTTTTTATTCCATTCAGGTAACAAGCCTATTTGTTGCTGCCACTCACACTCATGGTAGGTTTCTGTCTTCAGTGAATTCCTTTACTCACACCCATAACTATGCTAACCCAACTAGTTGCTTATTTCTTACTCAAGTTGATACAACAGTTAAGTATCACAATCCACCCCTTCTTAACCTGACAACCAGACACATTTTCTTAAACCATAGTTAGTCTCCAGATACAATTACGAGTTCATTATTACACCTCACACAATATGACTATCCAGGATACAAACAGAAATGTACTAATTCCCTCCACAGAATCAGAGGCATATTTTCTTTGGGTAATGCTTCACCTTAATAATCCATACCTTGAACAATATATCGTAGGTCTAATAATACTTAAAAGCCAATATTAAGCCTATCAACATTATACTACATAGGATGCATATTGAAAAGTAACTCCTACATTAGAGTCCTCTTTTTTGTAACTAATCATGAGGTATTGCTGATATTTAGAACTACCTTCATTTACTACCCATTCTCAATTCCCTTGGTTTTTAGCAAGCACCCTAGCAGGTCTTGGTTCTTTCCCTGGTTTGATGATCTGCATCTCCATTCCTGAGGATTCTGGACCATGTATAATCCTTCCAGGATTTGGTTGTAGTTTCTCAATGACATTAATGACAGGGCAATGGTAATAGTAGGAGATGACCTAAGAGATCAGCACTCCAAATATATTCTTCCTTTCCTTCATAGTCCAATTTCTTCTTGATAGTATTGCTTAATCGCCCCTGCCAAAGGTTGTTCACTCACTCAAAGGTATAAGGAAATCAAATGACCAGGGGAAAATCTTAGCTTCCAGTTCAATGGAATCATTGCTGTGCTTCCTGGTACAAGCCTTTTCTCCTCTGGAACTACAGTTTCTAGGCCATCAGAGCATAAGGTCATGGGAACAGAAAGCAAATATGCTGTTAGTGGGTTACGAGGGGTAATAGTTACAGGATAATGGTAGCGTCCCCACTTCCACCCGTGATTTCTGGATCCATGAATCCAGGGTTTGGGAGAAAGAGTGCCATACAGTAAATGATGGTCTGAATCATAAACAGGCTTTTAAAGAACTTTGCCCCAGCCCTCCAAGCAACTGCCACCTACCTAGTGCTGTAATTGCATCTTCAAAAGGCATTCCAACTTTTATCAACATAGCTGCCTCTGGATAGTAAGGAACATTGTAAGACCAGTTTGGCTGTAAAGTGTTCCTTGGTCAGAGCAATGCTACATGAAATTCTGTCACAGTAGACAATGCATTCTGTGAGTCCATGGATGATAGTTTTGTCAGCTACATTATGTGCAGGGAAAGCAACTCCATACCCAGAATATGTGTCTATGCCAGCAAGGACAAATCCCTGTTCTTTCCATGATAGAAGCAGTAGAATAAAATCAATATGCCTCCAGATTGCAGGCTGATCACTCAGGCAATGGTGCAATATTAGTGACTAAGTATTGGTTTCTACTGTTGGCATATTGGACATTCTGCAGCGGCCTTGGTGAGTGGGAGTCCATGCTCCTGACCATGAATAACCTCCAAGCCTGCCACCAGGGCCACTTTGTGCATGAGCCCACTGGGTAATGACAGGGGTTGCTGAAGAAAGAGACTGTTACTACAGAACTGCCACGTGATTGTTAAAGTCCTTCTCTGCTGAGGTTCACCTTGGGTAAACATTTATGTGGGGTACAAAATAACTTCACACCCCTTACCCATGTGGAACTATCTACGTACACATCTTTTTCAAATATCTTTGTCACCAACCTCCAGTCATGCTCCTTCAAAGTTCCTGACCACCTGGCCAGACAATTTGCTATACCCCATCAATCAGTATTCAATCACACATTTAGTCATTTTTCCTTCTAGCAAAATGTACTATCAGATAGAGTACCCAAAATCTGCCCACTATGAAGATTTCCCTTCACTGCTGCCTTTCTAGGGCGACCTGGAAAGGGGATGTAATGCTCCAGCTGTCCACTTGGGGATGATATGAGCATAACGTGTAGACCCTTTGGAAACCAAGGCCTAGCCTTCCCTTCTTCTGAGGCCATAGGTTCATACAGGGGGAGAGAAGGCAATATAGCAGAAGCAGAAACCATAAGGCTCTGGGCAACCACTTTATGTAACTGACTTGTACCTGCTTTAGCTTAGTCACATATATACCCCTTCCATTTAATAATGGACTGCTGAATTGTACATCCAACTTTCTGACTCGGTGGATCAGATAATACCCAGCTCATGATAGGCATACCAGTTAGTGTTTACTAGAGAACCATATGATACAAGAGACACAAATAGATAAGAATTTATAAGATTGGCTTACAAAGGCCACCCACAGTCATAGGTGGAGGAGTGCAGAGGGTCTGTGTGTTCACTGGAGATCTGAAGGTTCCAGTCAGAGCTCACTGTAGTGTCCTATGTGAGTTGATATCAGGAGGCCAATGAGTCTGTGATGGAAGGCAGAAGAGTCTACGCTGGAATCCAGGAGATGACACCCAAGGTGAAGACAGAGATGACACCCAAGGTGAAGATAAAGACGGGAGCTCCACTAAGAAACAGAAGCAGATTCATCCTTCTTCATTTACCCTTTATATCATCCTGGCAACAAGCCTCCCCAAGGTGAGTCTTCTGCACTAGGGTGTGGAACTGCTGAACCAAATCAGTTGAGTTTCTCCTACTCCTCATTTTTTTTTTTTTCGGAACCGGGGATTGAACTCAGGCCCTTGCACTTGCCAAGGAAGCGCTTATTCCACTGAGCCATCTCCCCCACCCCTCTTGTACTCAAATTGACACATTCAATGACCCATGACAATGGGCAACTCGGATCACATGGTAACCTTTTGTCCTTATGGTCAAACATTCAGTTTTCACTACAGCCAAGTCTGTTTTGCAAAGGGAAAGTAGTTGTATGTAGATGATGGTAGAATCTTGCAGCAAAATCCCTCCGCTGCAACTATGGGGCCCTGACAGAGCCTCCAAGGAGCATCTCTATCTAGAACTGACATTGCAAGTACTATTGGATGTGCTGGACCATATGGCCTAGACCTGCTGCAGAGGTTTATCTTCCTCTGAGCCCCACTCACAACTAGCAGCTCTCTGAGTCTCTAGAAAAATGAGCCAGAGTAAAATACCTAAGTGAGGAATTGGAGGCCTGCCTTTAGCTCAGTCGTTTAAGCACCTGCTCATGCAAAGGCAGTCAGGAGCAGGATACCGCAGTTCAATCCCCAGCTAGGCTTGCCCTTCAGGCAGCCTGAAATGCCAAAAAAGAAATGACCTATGTGAGGAATGTATTGCCTATCATATGTTGTGTGCTTCCTTTTTTTTTTTTTTTTTTGGCTGAACCAGGGATTGAACTCAGGCCCTTGCACTTGCCAGGGAAGCGCTTATTCCACTGAGCCATCTCCCCAGCCCCATGTGTGCTTCTTTTTATTTTTTACTTATTTACATTTTTTGGGACGTAGGGGCAACCAGATACAACAACTTATCTTTTACCTTTGAAGAGACATCTCTAAGGGCCCACACCATTGTGCTCCTAGAATTTTACTGAAGTAGGATTTAAATTTCAGTTGGATTTATTTACCTTACTCTGGCCCTCAAATGCTTCACTAACTAATCACTTGGTCCAATCAGCATAATATTATCAATATAATGGACCAGTGTGAAACCTTGTGATCCCTGTGAACTAAGATTTGACACAGGGCTGGAGTGTTAATATAACCCTGGGGTAGGAGAGTAGAGGTGTACTGCTGGCTCTGCCAGCTGAAAGCAAATTGGTCCTGATGGGCCTGATGGATAGGCGTGGAGAAGCAGGTATTTCCCAGCTCTATAACTGCATACCAAGTCCCAAGGTGTGGTAATCTGCTCAAGCAAGAAAACCACAACATTGGTATAGCAACTGCATTGGATTCGCCACTTAATTCATTTTACAGTAATCCACCGCTATTCTCCAAGACTCATCCATCTTTTTCAGGTTAAATGGGAGAATTAAATGAAGATGTGGTGGGAACCACCAGCTGTGTGTCCTACAAGTCCTTGACAGTTGCACTAATCTCTTCAATCCCTCTAGAGATACAAAACTGGTTTTGGTTTCCTATCTTACCAGGTAAATACAATTCTAGTGGTTTCCATTTAGCCTTTCCAATAGTAACAGCCCTCACATTATGGGTTAAAGAATCAATGTAAGGATTCTTCCAAGTATGAAGTACAAACAGTCCCTTGATTCAGAACACATATATGGCTCTTTGATCGTCCCGCTGCTGTCAAGGTGGCGCTACAGAAAGACAAGAAGCCTAAGAGGTCAACCTGGAAGTTTAATTTGGACCTTACCAATCCAGTAGAAGATGGGAGTTTTGTTTTTTTAATATATTTATTTATGGACTACTGGACTATTTTGGAATATTTTGCTGAGTTCACACACCTATAATATTTAAATGATGGAACTAAACTAAAAAAAGGGATATAGACGAATGTCTATTTTGTATCTGTGTATTCAGAATGGTTAGGGTAGATATATAGTTACATTCTCTTAATGAATAGAGGGATTTGTTCTAATAGTGTCTGTAAATAGGATATCATGTCTGCATCTTGTACAACAAACAACCACGAGGAAGGCAGTATGTAATGTGTTAATTATTGGAACTGTCCTACCAATTTGATTTGAAACTGTCTCATTGCTATTCATTTCTCAATAAAATTATGGAAAAAAATATATTTATTTTTAATATATTTAGGGAAGGAACTGTAGGGTGTTTAGGGCCTCATTACTAGATCGGACTCATACTGATTGCCTGTTTACAACCTCTTAAGAGCTGGGATTACAGACATGCACCACCACGCCCAGCCTCAATTGCTGTCTCAGGGCACCGGGGGGGGGGGCAGCATGGCAGGCCTGGGGATCGAATCCCCAGCCCCTGTGACTGCTTGCAGGCGCTTTAATCCACTGAGCTATTTGGCCAGCCCTAAGATGGAATTTTTGATTCTGGAAAGTTTGAACAGTTTCTGAGGGAGAAGGTTAAAGTTAATGGAAAAACAGGAAACCTTGGGGATGTTATTCACTTAGAACGTTTCAAGAATAAGATCACAATTACTATTCCTGACTTGAAATTATACTACAAGGCTACTGTGATAAAATCAGCATGGTACTGGTATCAAAATAGACCTGAGGATCAATGGAATAGATTAGAAGACACGGAAGCCCCTATG